TTGATGCTTCCTTGATCTCGTCCCCGCCATCATCCTGAAATCACACCCACATTCCTCATTTAGTATGCAATTTAATCTACGCGTGGCGTTAACCAAACACGATAAAGGAATATAAGGAATATATATATATATATATATATATATATATATATATATATATATATATATATATATAGAGAGAGAGAGAGAGAGAGAGACCGCGGTATCAGAAGTCCACAGAGTTAAGTTGTCTCTGAGAAGTTGCATGATCAATGTGCTGTCCTTGTAAGATTCTTCACCAAGTGTGTCTAGCTCCGAGATGGCTTCATCAAAGGCCTATCGAGATAACGAAAGAATTTTACATGTTTCATACGTGTCGATATTGTTGAATTCACAAACACACCAATACTTATCATGATTCATGAAACAATCAAACAATTGAACCAAGCTCGGAGTTTAAGTACCTTTAGGCCTACAAAAGATACACAAGGGAGACGCTATTGTTCTATTGCATCCATTTTTCAATAACACTCCGATAATTGAACATCCTTAATAATATCTTGATTCACTTCACAATAACTCGAACTCAAAAAAACAGTGGTATCCAAATTATACCAAACAGCTAATTTACCAAACACCTTTCCACAATCAGCTAATGTTATCAACTAGTTATACCCTCTAATTAACTCAATCAGCTAACAGCCATTTACCAAACAGGGCCATAGTATTTTCATACTTTGCACAGCCAACGCTCAATGTTATGAAGATAAACTGAACACCAAAAAGCTATGATTGAAGCGAGCACAGTTCATGGAAGAAAGAGAGAAGCTAATGTACCTGCTTGGCAAGGTTGCAGGCACGGTCAGGTGAGTTAAGGATTTCGTAATAGAACACAGAAAAGTTAAGGGCAAGTCCGAGCCTAATAGGGTGGGTTGGAGCCAGTTCACCCAATGCAATATCCTACATCACCGAGAATAAAAATTAACCACAAAGCATATCAATAAATTAAACTAAACGAATCAGCATATCTAGAAAAATCACCGACCTGAGCGGACTTATATGCCAACAAAGTGCTCTCGGCAGCTTCTTTCCTCTCAGCCCCGGTCTTAAACTCAGCAAGGTACCTATGGTAATCGCCTTTCATCTTCAAGTAAAACACCTTGGACTCAGCAGTGGAAGCCGAGGGAACCAGGTGGGACTCGAGAAGGCTCAATATGCCATCGCATATCTTGCTCAGCTCTGCCTCAATTCTACCCCTATATTCCTTAATGGTCTTAACAAGCTCCTCATTCCCACGGCTCTCCTCCTTTTGCTCAATAGAAGATATGATTCTCCACGAGGCCCTCCTCGCACCAATCACATTCTTGTACGCCACCGAGAGAAGGTTCCTTTCCTCCACGGTTAGCTCATCCACATCCACCGTCTTGGCAACCTTCTCCATGAACTCCACCATTTCCTCATACCTCTCAGCCTGCTCGGCCAACTTGGCCATGTACACATTCTCTTCACGAGATGACTCAGTTGACACCATCTTTGCTATACTCAATTAATACCTAATTCTGCAAAGATTCTAGTCAACTTAGAGCAATATACTAAAATCAAAACATACATCCCTGTATCCATGTTCATATAGTGATCATAAAATCCATAATATTATCATCACATTTTGAGTTTGTTGAGCATATAATATATAAAATCTGCATTCCAACTATTAACTTAGGCTTTTAGTTGAGATAGAGCACAAAACATCACGAGTTCGAATGTTGAGCAAACATAGTTTTATATAATGTGCATTCCAACTATTAACTTAGACTTATAGATGAGATTGTAAGAGTGCTCAAATCTTGGCTCTTAATCCCTATATAGACCTTTCAGAAGTTCAACAACCAAACTCTTGATCTAAAAAACTAATCTGTTTAACCTAATACAACATTATAAGACCATTTAAACACATCAAAAATCCACACAAGAAGAAACTAAGACGCCTAGAATAGATTATTACTCAATGATAACTACAATAAACTAAACAAAGTAACAAACAGCAAACAATTCTACCAAGAAACAGAAACTGATTCAAAAAATTAAACTCAAGTAAAAGGATCTAATGATCAAGGATTTCCGATCTGTAACTTGCAGCGATAACTCAAAAGTATTCAAATAAATTGGAGATCTAAGAACACTACTACCTTTGGGAACGGAGGAGAAAGATGGGTATGGGTAAATTACCTTAAACTGAAGCAGCAACCGCTGCGTTTTTCCGACACTGAAATGCAATAGAGGAACTGACAGAAGAAAGGCGGTTTATAAAGAAAACGCGTTAGGGTGGAGAAAGTTGGGGGCGGCGCGTGGCGGCTTCGACCTTTCGGGGGGTCACATGTATGTATGGTCTGTCGCGGTCTTCACGTAGTCACGGGCGTCACGCCAAATCTTGCGTAACAAAATTTTGGATTAAATGCTCTATTTCGTGTCTGACCATTTTACGGATTTTCGCTTTTTTGTCTATGTTGAATCAAGATGGAAATAATTCATAACATTTTTCCTAAAAAATATAATACTAATCATGAATATTTATGTAAAAAAATATAATATTTGTGATAAAAAATATAATATTTTTACATTAAAATATAAAATTATTACATTTTTTTTCAAAAGTATTACACAATTTTTTATAAGTAACAAATATTTTATAAATGATTAATATTGCATTTTCACATCAACCCCGACATGATCCGCCTCACGACGGTTACATTGTGAGTTTGTGACTCAAAATTCAAAAGAAATAAGGTTCAAATTGGCCACTGAACGTAACTTAAACATGTAATTAGGTCACCGAACAAAAAAAAAATACAATTAGGCTATTGAACACTCCAAATGTATGCAATTTCACCTGATAGCATGTTACCATCAATTTTAGCAGGTTACCTGCTTACGTTACAGCTTAGTTGGCATTTTTAATAATTTTTAAATAATTTTAATAATAATTTTTTTAAAAAAAATTACAAAACAACGGAGTGGCCGTCATTTTATTTTTATTTTTTTATTTTTTTTATTTCATTTTTTTCAATTTTGTTTCTAAATTTATTATTAAAATTTATTAAAGATTATTTGAAAATGTCAACTCAACTGCCACGTAAGCAGGTAATTTGTTAAAATTGATAGTAACCAGCTATCCGGTAAAATTACATACATTTGGAGTGTTCAATGACCTAATTGCACTTTTTTTTTTTTCCATTCAGTGGTCTAATTGCATTTTCAAGTTTAGCCAATTTATACCTTATTCCAAATTCAAAATATACACAATATCACGATTAGACTAATATTAAAACGTTTTTGAAATATTTGACTGATATATTTTGGAATAATTCTACCTTTCTTCTATGTTTTATGAACGCAATCCTTATATTATACCACGTGAAAAAGAAAAAGAAAAAGAAAAAAAAAATCATTTGTGACAAAATTTAAGATAGTTGTGTTTGACAAATCTAAATAATAATACTAAAATATAATTTACTTTACAGTTGTTTTTGGGGGGAGGTTATTAGATTAAATCTATTTAATCTAAAAAATTAAATAAAAATTAATTTACTTCCATTTTCTTTTTGGATTTAAAATCTTTGTATTATATGACTTTAAAAATTTTAATCGGTCAAGATTATTAATAAAATTTTACATGTCAATGGTCTATGCTTTTACATTTCTAACTCAAGTTGGAATGCGATTGTGGATGAAGAGTAGAAATACTAGGTACAATTCTGTTACTAACATTATTCATGTTCAATTGTTTCTTCATCCTTTATGTAATCTTTCATAAAAAAAAAAAAAAAAAAAAAAAAACTTACGGAGTATCAGATAAAAATTTAAATAAAAGTATCAATTCCTAATTTATATTAGAGTTAATACCTAAAATGGTCCCTCAATTATGCCATAATTACCAATTTGATCCTCAACTACCATTCTTACCCAATTAAGTCCTCAACTATGTAACTTTTACTCAATTAAGTCTTCAACTATACAATTCTTACCCAATTTAGTCCTCAACTATACAATTCTTACCCAATTTAGTCCTCTGTATTAATTTGACTGTTTGTTGACTGTCAAAAGTCGGGATAAAATTATAATTTTACAAGATTTCTCCTTCCTCTCCATTTAGCAGCGTCAAACCATGCAGCAATACACTCCGATCAGATTTCAATCGTTGGAAATCAAATTCATGGGCTATCCGATGCATAACCAGTACTTTGATACTGACAGGTTTAGAACCCAACCGGAGCTTATTGCTACATGGTTTAGCGCTGCTAAATGAGGAGGAAGGAGAAAACTTGTAAAATTACAACTTTATTTTCACTTTTGACAGTCAACAAACAGTCAAATTGACAAAGGACTAAATTGGGTAAAAATTGTATAGTTGAGAACTTAATTGGGTAAGAATGATAGTCGAGGACTAAATTGGTAATTACAACATAGTCGAGGGACTATTTTGGGTATTAACTCTTTATATTATAATAGGATAAGATCCATATTGACCACTAAACGTAATTTAAGCCACTGACAAAAAAAAAATACAATTAGACCACTGAGCATCTCAAGTATATATGCAATTTCACTTGATAACAGGTTATCACCATTTCTTCCGATTGCATGTTTACGTGGATGGTGAGTTGCCATTTTCAAAATAATTTTTAATAAATTTAAAAAAAAAAAAAACAAAAAAAAAAACAAAACAAAACAAAACAAAACCGCCAGAGTAACTACTAGCCACCCCGATGTTTTTTTTTAATAAAGTTTTTTATTAAAAATTATTTTAAAAAAATAACAACTCACCAACAATGTAAACAGACAATCGAAAGAAATGAGTGATAATCTGTGATCAAGTGAAATTGCATATATTTAAGGTGTTTAGTGACCTAATTGTACTTTTTTCGTTCAATGGCCTAATTTGGACCTTATTCCTTTATAATAATAACACATTCACTGTTGCTTATTGGCATGACTAGTTAAACAATTAGTTTGAAAATTGAAAATAAGTGAAAAGTTGAAAAGCTAACAGAGGTGAAAATTGTTAAGCTTGTACAATGTTTAGTCATAAAATACAACACAACAACAATGCCACTGACCTTGTAGTTCAGTGGTATGGATGTGAGACTCAATATTAGACGCATCGAGATTGGATCTCGATTGCCTTATTTGTACACACACAAACAACACCAATAAGCACCGAGGCACAATGCCAGAGTACACCATCGAGTTTTACAAGACCTTACAGACTGGGAACCGATACACCTTAGAAATATTCCAACTGCACAGCTTATACTCTCATCGGCCCCTTACCGACTTACAGTCCTGCTAAAGTGAGTACTTGTGCTTCATTTCTTCCAAGACCGAGTCATTGCAACTGCATGGAGAGAACATAATAAAACATGTCTAGTCTTCCTTAAATTTTCAAATAACTGGAACTACACATGCAGTTATGTTAGATTTTCATACTGAATTTTGAGCAAGACATGAGTAAGCGGAGCTTATTTCACATTGCCAATTATCCATCAATTGAATCAAGACAATTTTCTAATGTCAATAGCATTTTCGAATACCACAGTAGTATCAGATAGATTTGTTTGGTATGTTTGACCAAAAGGGGAGATAGGATTCAACTCGAGGTTTATTGTTTGGAGAGGGGCATATCACATAGATGGCAAACAAATATGCATGCTGACAGAGTGAACTATGGCAAGGATGATTATACCATGTATAAACCAAGGGCCGAGGCTTTCAGGCATCAAAATGGCATTACACCAAGGTAATGCCATTGCAAGATAGTTCATAATTGTTAAGAGTCCTACATTGAAAATATAAGAAAGAACATATGGGTTTATAAGGTCATGGTTATACTAGCTAGTTGATTTGATTGGATTCTTTTAGTGTGGTTCGTCCCATGTGCATTATAGTCCAGTTGTGTGACCTTGGCCCAATCTTAGATTCTAACAATAACAATGATGACGCCTTCTATATCCAAGAGAAGGCAATAACAGAAACGCAGAACACGTATGTAAAACCAGTTCTTTTAAAGTTAATAAAACTCTATATACCTTTGTTAAGAAACATCAACAATCAATCTTTGAACATAATATAACCAAACTTACTACTGGCGCATGCAATCATTGTATTCTTTAAACTGTTTGCTGCACCTCCGACTCGCAAATAATAATTTTTTTTCAGAACATTCAGAATACTTATCCAAATATTCAGAACATTTCTTTTGCGCATCCTGCTCCATTTTGCTGTGCAAAGCTGAAATTTTGAAACATTTGCATGTCAAAAATACCGAGCTTATGCCAGATGACCAGGGAAAAACCAGGAATAACAAACAAGGTTCATCATGTTAAGTCACAAGTGAGTATCTAAAAATCATAGGTTAAAGAAACAGCTTTCACAAGAGTTGACTACAAGTCAAAATGTGCATATCACACAATGATGTAGAAAAACCTACTGGCTTTTGAGCACATTTGGTCCAATCACATATATTTATATTCAGAATTTATTTGAAGGGGGCAACCCCAACCCCAACCCCAGCCAAGTTGGTCAGACAGTCGGCTTGTTAACTGCAAGGTTACAAATTCAACTCCCTATGAGAGCGGCCTATTGGCCCTCTCGGTTCGAACTGGTCAAATATAAGAGAAATTTGTTCATAATTTCATATGATAAGGTTCAGCACATGAGATTTCCCAACTCTACAAAGTCCCAGGAGAAGCAAACGATCCATGAAGCCAGCTAATTCTTGAGGTTTCAAATACAACACTTCTCGCATAAAAACCACAAAGATTGGCAGAACAAATTGCAACCCTAAAGATGATCTCCCAGACTTTAAGTCAACGCAATTTGTTCATTGATTCTTAAATAACAGAAACCAATACTTAAAAAAGCAAGCATCCTAAATTGGGTAATTGCAAAACAACAAAACTTCTCAAAGCCATTTCATAGTAATCGCGAAGCATTGACAGATTTACGAATTTAGGGATAGTTTGAAAATAGATGTACATGTGCGAGTACCTCGTTCAAGCTTCGTCCTACCACCACCCTCTTCTTGCGCTAATCCCATGAAGTGTGTCTCTGCTGGAAGGAACCTGCACAGCAGCAGTTTCGAGTATTTGTTGATGGATTAGGTTACCGAATGCACTTCTCTCTTCACCTGTTTATCACTGCATTTACTAAACCATTATTCGTGATAAAAATTCCCAGACAATATTTATTACGGAGTACATCTCTGTCTAAACTTTACTGTCTTTTATTGAGTATTTCTTATTTCTTATGTTCGTTAATATTTTTTTTAAAAATATTTTTAAAATTTAGTTTTCAAAAAATTGTAATTTATGTCCCTTGTCAATTATCAATGTTACTCCTGAATTATTAGTGGTGTAAATGTTGCCCTTCAATTTTCAAAATATTACATATATTATCATCCCGTAGTGTAAATGTAACCCCTCAAATTTCCTCCAACATGGTACGGAATGGGTAATATATATACCGTTTTGAAATTTGAAAAGCAACATTTACACGACTAATAATTCATGAGTGACATTGATAATTAGATAAATTAACATATTATGAATGGACATAAATTAAATTTTACCCTTTATTTTACTTAAAAATGCTATCAAACCACTCCTTGCATCTTGACTTAGAAACGGACGCCCGAGCAAGACTATGGCCCCGCGCCAATTCACACGATGCTTAACAAAAGAAATATACACATTGGATATTTATCATTTTTGGTTTACTCAAGTTGAGTTACATTTCAAGAGATTAATGATTTAGTATTTTAGCATAACCTATTTAAAAATCTAATTCTTATTTTAAACTATCTTAATTAACATTTAAAAAAATAAGTAAATACCTTTTCTTAAAAAAAAAAAATTAAATTAAATACCATCCTCTTCACTCTCAAAGTCTCCCTTTAGTATTATTTTTCTCATCATTTGCATTTACCCTCCTCCATCTAACAATTATATATAATATATTTTATTGTTTTTTTTTTTATTATATTTGAAAAAACTCACAATTACAATATAACACTGCTAGTCTGCTACAATTTGGAGCAGTAGTTTAACAAGGCTACACCTAGTTGGCTAGTTTGGTATAGAAGAATTAGTTGTACATCTTGGCAAAAGAGAGTAGAGCTAAAGACCATTTGGGAATACAATGGAGTACAATGGAGACCATTTGGCAAAAGTGTTTTTCTTCAGCTGAAACTTTAGTATCATGCGACCCAAGTTAGCAGGAAGCATAAAAGTCTGATTACAAACATCTCCAGCAAACATTATTGATTTCTTCTAATGCAAACCAGCACTAAGTTGATACATGGTGCTATCCATCTAATTTAGGAAACAAATGAAATGGCATGACCTTAGACTATGCACAAGCCAAAAGGAAGAATCCCCAATTTCACATTCAATAAAAGAAAATTTAGAACACTATGCCTTAATTCTACCCTTTGCAGAAAACTGAGCTGGACAAATATTCTAGTTTCCTGAACTGAATCATTGAAACTATACCTGAACTTGAAATGTAAAGCGTGAATGCAAGCTAGTGATAGATATATGTACTACATTAAGTTGGGGATGAATATATATGCTTATTTATTTAAATGTTTTTTAATGTTTAATTTTTTTTATAACTTATTAATAATGCTGGGATCCCCCGTCCCTGAATAATCTCTGTAGGGATGAGAATGGGGGATTTTTCCTTTCCCCGTCGGGGACGGGGAATGGGAAGAAAGTCGAGGGCAGGGATGTGGGTATGTCTCCCACCCCCACCTCGCCCCATTGACATCCCTACCTTGTATACTAATATTCTATTGTCATTAATTCATTATACGGCTTTGGGGTTTTTAAAGGCAGATCGATCCCCGGGCATCCCGACATGACTCGACGAAACCGGCAATTTATATCGCGGACCAAGGTTCACACACAACGTTGTAGACTCTGAATCAACACGACATTATTTGATATGTAAGTTTTAACATATCTCGTAACTTCTTTTCTCATGTTTCGACACAAAATTTTAATTTATTCTATGCATAGAATTCTTACGCTTAATGTATAGAAATACATAACATGATACACAGAAACGTATAACACGATATACATACACATGTTTTCTATTTTACTTATTATCATATCTGATTTGTGTAAATAATTTATGTCTTATAGGCACATAATTGCATAATATAAGACATAACTTTGTAAAATAAGACATACAATTTATTTTGTGTTATACAACTACTAATCAATTTTATGTACAGAATTTTCATTTTAATATACAGAATTTCGTAACAAATATGTTTTATAGTAAAAAAAAATTATGTAACGCGAATTGAAAAACAAACCGCCTCGTTAAAATTAATTAAAATTCAAAATGACATCGTATAGGATTAAGATCCACGTTAGGACGAAACCCAAGACCCGAATGTGGAGAACTTTTCAGGCCGTGGTTGGGGCTTTGGGGTTCAGCAAGTCGCAAGTGCCATAAACGACTCGACTGCCTATCTGCCTCTTATCCAGAGCTCGTAATAGACTCTCCCATACAACTCCCGTCTATAACACGGTATGATGTTGTCGGCGGCAGCACGGCCGGCGGTGAACTGTATTCTTGAATCGCCGGCTTCTTCATTTTCTTCTCACAAACCCTTTCTGCCAAACAAACTCTTCTTTCCCCAACCACCAACTGCCGCTTCTCAACCATCCCTTCTCTCAAGAAAGCTCTACGTCTCCGCATCTTCATCCGCCGCTGTTGATGCTCTATCCCAAGAAACCTCCGCAAAGGGTTCGTTCTCTTCAACTCCCCTTCACAAGGAGGTAAATAATTTCGATTATTTTTCCCTGTTCATTAAAAAAGGTGTTTTTTTTTTTTTTTCTTTTTTATTAAATTCAAGAAATTATGGAAAATGTAGAAGCTTGGAGTGGTGGTAAAGCCAATGGAGAAACCTAGACTAGTTTTGAAGTTCATATGGTTGGAGAAGAACATTGGGATTTCACTGGACCAAGTGATACCCGGGCATGGCACAATCCCTATAAGCCCTTACTATTTTTGGCCTAGGAAAGATGCCTGGGAGGAGCTAAAGGTGATGCTGGAGAGTAAGCCTTGGATATCCCAGAAACAGATGGTTATTCTGCTTAATCAGGCCACTGATATTATCAATCTATGGCAACAGAGTGGTGGCAACTTTGCATAATCTTAGCTTTTCTTGTGCAGCTACTAGGTATAGTTTTCGCTGTAATCCCCCATTTTGTGAGGCCATCATTGTGCTCAATCTGACATTTGTAATACCCTTGTAGATGTTGTTTTGATGTTTCAGTGAGAGAAGGATGTTTCGTTTTATCAAAGTTGCAAATTTTATTCGGTTTGAGTTTTTAAGACATTTGAATTGAACAGTATGTTTTGTCATAATTTCAAGAATCTATGCAACAGTATCTGGTGTCTCGAGTGATCCCTTTTAACCGATTTTGGTTACATTATCATTCTGTATTTGTGTCGATGGATATATGAAACTGTCGTAATGGAAAAAAATGCAGGCATATGGTAATTGGAGGTTGGGAGTGTAGTTGTTTATGATGTTTTAGGAATTGCAGATTCGAAGTGATATATTTCCTTCACATAATTCATCTACTGCCTGTTCTTGATGTTTTAGATCAAGTGCAGGTCTGAAAACACCACCTCGTATTCTGTGAATCTGATGTTTTAAATGGCTAAGTTGTATTTGCCATCACCGAGATGACAACATTAGCCATTGTCTATCCGTAAAGGTTTGTCTCGAGTATGAAGATCTGGCTGTAATATATCAATACCGGATGGATGCTCTCCAGGGCGAACAGTTTTCGTGCAACTTTTTTGTTGTGGCATTGAATCCATTGATCTGAAGATGTAGTAGCTTTAGAGAGTTTGCTCCAGCTTGATTTATGAAGGAAATGGATTTGGCATTCTGTACAAATGTATAGTAGACTGAGGGTTGATGCAACTTTCATTCTCTTTTTCAAAACATGCTCTTTTTGTGTATGTATGTATGTATAGGCTAGCCAGAAAGAATACAAGAGAAGAGAAATTTGCTTTATAAATGCTAAATCAAGTGTTTTGGTTTTTGGTTTTGTAAACAACTAGAAATGATGTCCTATAAATGGATTAAAATAGGCAAAAATAAAGTAGGACATAATGAAAATGGTAACTCATGCATTTTTTTGGGGATGAGGAGGGAAGATTAAAAACCTATGTGCCAAGTCACTCGCAGACTTGGCACCCTCCACAGCCTGACCCCTCTTAAGACAATCACAATAGTGATTTTTGGAGAGGTTTTTACATGCTTAAAAACTTGAAGATGATTTTCAACAAATGGGGAAGGAATTTTTTGGTGGTTTTTCATTACATAAGAAGCTGAGTTTTGTCACTATAGTGGGACCCACCAAGCAGAAAAAAAGATGTGCCTTGATCGCGTGAGACTGTGAGAGGTAAAACAAGTGCCCAGTCGGACACGTCAAAACTAGCGCCCAGCCGGACGCGTTAATCTGAAGTTTTTTTTTTTTTTTTTTTTTTTTTTTTTCTTCTGTTCCCAAACATATACTCAATTGACACATGTTTTGAGATTATATCAAAATGACTATTTATGAAAATTTAAACTACAAGTAATGTTAAGTTGATCATGCTATTTTTCTTTATTGGATTTATCTCATAATATTTTTATTTAACATAATAATATAATTATTTATATTCGTTGACTATTAATGAATTAATCAATTACATCATTTTCTTCCCAAAAAAAAAATCAATTACATCATTTAAAAAAAAAGTTAAATTCACCTTGTATTTAAATACAACAAAAATTTAGTATAAATATTAAAAACTAAATTAAAATTATATAAAAGTTGTAATTGGAACAATTTAGTGATATCAATGACATAAATTTAATGTGAAAATAGAAAGGGAAAACTCATTATTTACAAAACTTCATGGGCCAAAGTGTAATTACACATAAAGTTTAATGGTACAATGGAAATTGAAGACGGTCTTTCTTATCGGAGCAATCACTCCGGTGAGGTTCAGTCGGATCATTTTTCCTATAACGGATTCAAATGGAGAAGAAGCCGTCGAGCGACGATTCAGACTCCGACAGCAGCATCTGGGGATGGATTGTGTTGAAAGGTACCGCAGCTTCGTTTCTCTGCATCAGTCTTTTCGCTCTCTTAGTAAGAATTGCCGTGTCTCTCCACTCATACTCCGGCGCCGGAACTCCGCCGAGGTATGGAGACTACGAGGCCCAGCGGCACTGGATGGAGATCACAATCAATCTCCCAGTAAAAGAATGGTACCGTAATAGCACGATGAATGATCTCATGTACTGGGGACTCGACTACCCCCCTCTCACTGCCTATCAGAGCTACATTCATGGACTTTTCCTCAGATTCTTCGATCCCCAGTCAGTTGCTCTCTACACTTCTCGGGGCTACGAGTCTTACATCGGGTATTTTAATATGCATACAACGTGTTTGAATATATTCCCGAGAGAGTTCCATTTCTCCCGATTATTTCGATGAAATTTATCTAAAAACATCGAAGTTTGTTTGTTTAGGCTGTGTTTTTTCTCGATTGCAGGAAACTGTTAATGCGGTGGACGGTTTTATCATCTGATGCTCTGATATTCTTTCCTGCAGTTCTATATTTTATTAATGTGTATTATTATGGCAAACCTGTTCGACGGAAGAGTAGTTTGGCATGGCACATTGCGATGCTTTTGTTGAATCCGTGTTTAATTTTGATTGATCACGGTCATTTTCAGGTCTGTTTTATATTCCGGATTGTTTGCTCCCTAACTTATGTGACTTTGTTTCTCTATTTTAAAATTTTAGGGTTGATTGTTTTCCTATTTTCATTCATTTGTTTTGCAGTACAACTGTATTAGCTTGGGCCTTACAATGGCTGCTATTTCTGCAATATTTTCTGATAGAGACCTTGTCAGTTCAGTGTTGTTCATTCTCGCTCTTAACCATAAACAGGTGCCTGACCATTCCATTTTTAAAGTTTTGCTCAAAACCCAACACTACATGACTACGAAATTGTTTAAACTTCATGTTGCACTGATATCGATTCTGTTATTTTGTTATTGTGGCTCATTAAATATGCTTAATGATTGACTGGACTTCTGCAGATGAGCGCCTATTTTGCACCTGCATTTTTCAGCTACCTCTTCGGTAAATGTCTAAGGCAGAGAAATCCACTTCTTGAAATCTCAAAGTTGGGCTTAGTAGTATTAGGGACTATGGCTGTGATTTGGTGGCCATATCTTTATTCAAAGGAAGCATCTTTAGAGGTATGGATATCTCATCATATCCTTGGTTATGATCTTTTTTACTAGTTGAACTTTGTTGTCTAATGATCAGAAAATTGATGCGTGACCTTCGCTTACCTTCCTTTGCTACTTTTGCTTATAGACCTCTTTTCTTTCCTGGGAATATTATGAGCATTGTTCTCATTTATCAGTGAAAGTTTATATTTTCCTTCTGACTAGAATGTGCACCTAATGCAATCTTCAAACATCTTTTTGATTGTAGTTTATTTTTAATAAGTTTTTTTTTTTTTTTTTTTTTTTTTTTAATAGCTTGTAAACTATTAATAATTTTATTATGTTGTTATTTGTGTATTTAAGTTCTTTGAAGGTTGTGCATCATTTAACCCTAGTAGCAGTCTCTATGAGAGTAGAGGTAACACCCATCCTTAAGCCATGTATCACTATTTGTGCCTGTTCTGACATGAAAAACAAGCATTGATGCTCCCTTGTGCTTGTTCTAGGAGAGTTGGTTAATCAGTCAAAAATACATTATGGCATGTAAAGCTCGATGACATCCTCATTAGCTACAATGGATAATACTATAACTCACATGCAAGTGAAGAAAGAGTATATGACCTAGTAAGAAGGTAGACAATAATATTATATAAGAAAATATGTCTACTAAGCAAATCTGTCTGAAGGAGGAGATGTAGATTATGATTATAATAGGGAAAGGATTTTCCCATGTTATATAATAGATGGGGGTCTCAGGTGCTGGTTGCATATACAAAGATGCTACTCTTTCATTATACAATCAATAACGGTAGGAGATCTTTGATGCACTACATTCTTGCAGACCCATTCTCCTTTGGAGTATAACTTTGGCAAATTAGTTCCTTTTTTAAAAACTTCCCATCATGCTTTCAACCCATTTGGATCTGTTTACTAATTTGTTAACTAACTTGATGCTTGTTACAGGTTCTCTCACGCCTAGCTCCATTTGAGAGGGGAATATATGAGGATTATGTGGCTAATTTTTGGTGCACATCATCTGTTCTTGTGAAATGGAAGATATTGTTCAGTTCCCAAGCACTGAGGCTTATTAGTCTTGCAGCAACTATATCTTCTTGTATTCCTTCAATGATGATGCTAATATTGGTGCCTAGCAAACAAAATTTCTTATATGGGCTGCTCAGTAGTGCTTTGTCGTTCTACTTATTCTCATTTCAAGGTATGTATCACTTTGTGCTTTCTCCCCTAGTTTGTTACTTTGCATGTGCACTCACACATACAAGTGCCACTACTACATCATGATTTGTGCTGTGTGGTTTCATTGACAGTGCACGAGAAATCTATTCTCTTGCCTCTTCTTCCAGCAAGCATCTTGGCCTGGGAAAAGCCTTTTATATTCCATTGGCTCACAAGTTTTGCCATGGTCTCTATGTTCCCACTTTTGAGGCGTGACCAGTTGATTTTGCCATATGGGGCTCTCTATGGACTTTTTGTCATTCTTTACTATGCACCTGGTGGAAAACTACACAGAAGTGAGGCAAATACTTTTTACGCCACTTTAAAGTCACTTCTTTTGGCCTGCTCTCTTATTCTTCACATTGTCTACTTAATGGTAACTCCTCCAAACCGCTACCCTTTCCTATTTGAAGCTATAATTATGCTTCTTTGCTTTTCTCAGTTTGTATTCATTTTTGTATACTCCAATACAATACAGTATACAATGTTGAAGCTTAATAGTCAGCTAGATAATGATAAGAAAAATCTATGATCTTGTTGGGCTTTTGTATTTGTAATTTTTTATTGCTTATCCTGAGTTTTATTAGGACATTGTTTTTTTTTGAGATGTACATTTTGAAATGGCAAGATAGTGTTCTCGTTTGGCTGAGTTAAGAAGCACAATTTGGATCAAGTCCATTAATTTCTTTTCTTTCTTTCAGTGATCTCACTATTACAATTTATACCATTGTTTTATCATTCTTTGTTATTTATAACCATTTTCTTGCTCAATCTGTTGAGTGCATACTTGACGTATAGTTCTTTCTTCCTAACACTGTTTAGTTTCAGCGCCACCCTACCTCCCACCCAACACGGTTCATTCCTATTTTGGATTTTATTTATGCTTGATTGTATATGCAAGCAGTTGTATATTTGATAGTTTATATTGAAATTAGCGAGTGGGCATGGTTAGCT